TTAAATGTACTGTGAATCCAATGGTAGCTTTATAGTGGCTAACAGCCTTACTAAACTTGACTTTTTATGAAGACTTAGTTGCCAACAAATAGATCCTCTTTTCTTGACTGGATCCCAGAAGATAACATCTTTAAGTAAGAGAGAAACTGGTCCTGCTGTAGTGGACAGGAACAGAAGAAGCTGTGCTGCTAAAGTCTGGGTCCTAGACTTTGACCACCTGCCAGGAAACAGAGATCTAAGCCCTAAGAACAGTACTGGCAGCTAACAATTTTTGGACCTTTGCTGTATCCGACATACTTGCTTAATGATTTACTCCTCAGAACTATTCTATGAAGGGGATTTATAATTATTTCCTCAAAGATAATGAAACCAAGGCACAGAAATGTAACATGCTTAAGGTCACGAGCTGGTAGGTGACATAGCTCAGGTTTAAAAGCAGGCAATTTGACTCCACAGCATGTGCTCTTAACCACCATGTTCTATCCCCTAGAAGAAGGAGCCTGGGGCCTGAGCAGCTGAGCAAGATCAAGGAGAAATCATGAATATGGCCTCCATTGAAAGTCACATCTACCGCAGGGAAAGATGGACTTTAAAAGATTAGTCTGGAACCAGAAAGTTAATTGGAGGTTGAATGATTGGTGCCATCACTACCTTTATCCACATTTTTTTGGTCTCTCTACTGGCTCCTTCTTGGCCTGACCTTAAGTGTTGTAGTGCCCAACTCTAATCTTGGGCCTACCTCCCTCATTCTCTATCTACTCTCACCCCCTAGGCACTGGCATCCAGATCCTTATAATAACAATCTCAATTTAAATCTCCAATCCAGGCTCTTTCTTGACTGGATTAGTGTGTCCACCTCTCAGTAGCTTCACCAAGACACCTCACAGACATCTCAAACTCAACACATCTTTGTTTCTACACCCACACAGACATCTCCCGGAGACTTCAGTAAAATTAATACACACATTCAGCAACATTAAGCACCTACTATAGCAGTGAGCAAACTAGACAAAAACACTTGCCTTCATAAAGCTTCATTCCACTAGGGCACATAAACTAAAGAGGAAAAAAATAAATTACATTAGAAGATAATACGGGCTAAGGAGAAAAGCAAAGCAGGGAAGGGACAGAATGTGCAGGGGATGGGGGCTGAAATTTTGGGAAGGGCAAGTTGGAAAAGCAGGAGATGAGGTCAGAGAGATAACAAGGGGTTTTTATTCTAAGATGGGATTTTTTAAAGCAATTCTTATCAATAACGTACCATTATTTTCATTACTATAGTCACTTGCATGTCTATATAATTTGGGATTACATTTTTACTCCATTTTACTCCATGTACACATGCTTCATTCACCCTCCACCAAACCTCCCTTGCCAAAGCCTTATCTCCTTCCCCAACCCCTTTTCCTCCCCCGAGTCCCTCTGGTAACCAGAATATTTTTCACTAAGTCTAAGACTTGTTTTGCTGCGCCTTGCCAATTTTTTTTAATTACATTCTACAGATAAGTAAAATCATTATGATATGTCTTCCACTTTTTATTTCACTCAGCATAATCATGTCAAGGTCTATCCACTTTATCCTAAAAGGCACTATTTCATCTTTTTAAAGAGCTAAGTAGTATTCCATTGGCTGTATATTCCACAACTTCTTTATCCAGTTGTCTATTGGGCACTTAGGTTGGTTCTATGATTGTGGAAAGTGCTGCTATGAACATAGAAGTCTGCAAGTGTTTTCAGATTCCTTGGGTAAATACCTACTAGAGGTATTGCTGGATCACATGGCATTTCCATTTTTATTTTTTTAAGATATCTTTATACCATTTTCCAGAGGCAGCACCAACTTGCATTCTCACCAACAGTGGATGAGAGTTCCTTTTTTTCCATAGCTTTGCCAACACTGGTTGTTTCCAGTCTTTTGATATGGGCCATTCTCACAGGAGTGAGGTGATATCTTACTGTGGTTTTCATTTGCATTTCGCTTATAATCAGTGATGTTAAACAATTTTTCATGTGCTTGTTGGCCATCTCAATGTCTTCTTCAGGAATGCGTCTATTTAGATATTTTGCTCTTTTTGAGGGCAAAATGTTGTTGTTGTATTGTGTTAAGTACTTTGTATCTTTTGGAGATTACTCCCTTCTCAGACATGTGATGTGCAAATATCTTCTCCATCTGTAGGTTGCCTTTTTGGTTTTCTGATGGTTACTTTTGGGGTACAAAACTTTTTTAATTTGATGTATCCCACTTATTTTTGCTTTTGTCTCCCTTGCCATTGGGGTTGCATCCCCAAATATGTGTATTTGCCATTAATATCCTATAGTATATCGTCTATGTTTTCCTTTAAGTATTTTATGGTTTCAATTTTCATATACAAATCTTTAACCCATTTTGAATTAATTTTTGCATATGGAGTTACTATGGAAAGTTTCATTTTTTTGCAGGTGGCTATCCACGTTTCCCAACATCATTTGTTAAAGAGGCTTTCCTATCTCCACTGTATAGCCACGGCTCCTTTGTCAAAGATAAACTGTCCATATTTATGTAGATTTATTTCTGGGTTTTCTATTCTATTCCATTGGTCTGTTTCTTGTTTGTTGCAATACCATATTGTTTTGATTACTGTGCTGTGTATTATAATCTGAAGTCAGGAAATGTGATACCTCCTTTTTTCTATTCTCTCAGGATGGTTTTGGCTTTAGGGGGTTTTTCATGTTTCCATACAAATCTTATAATTGTTCTCTTTCCTTGAGAAAAGGTATTGCCTTCAATCTGTAAACTGCTATAGGTAATATGGCCATTTTAATGATGTTTATCCAATCCATGAGCATGCCATAGCTTTCCTTTTGTGTCTTTTAAGTGTTCAACATAAAGGTCCTTCACCTTCTTTGTTTAGTTTACTCCCAGGTACTTCATTTTTTATGTGTGCAATTGTAAATGGGTCTGTTTTTTAAATTTCTCTTTCTTCTAATTCATTGTTTGCAGGCAACTGATTTTTGCTCATAAGATGGAAGATTTTGAACAGTAATTTGACATGAGTGATTTCCATTTAATTTTTTTTTAAAGATTTTATTTATTTATACAAGAATTGGGGTACAAGTCAGAGGCGCGGGAGGATGAGAAAATTCACCAGAGAGTGGGGGAGCACAACAGGCAGATAGGCATGCCCTAGCTATTGTGAAAAAATTAGGGGGGTTGGGGTGTGGTGGGGACAGTAGCAAAGCTGAAAGCTGGGAGACCAGTTAGGGAGGTGAGAGGTGACAGAAATGGGGATTTGGATTAGGAGACAATGTAGGAGCTGGTGAGTTAGGTTCAGCTTCTGGATATATTCTAAAGGGGAAGTTCTAGCATCCAACCAGTTTCTCAAGCTAAAATTCTGCCTTATTCTTCCCTTTCCCACACACCTATATCAGAAAGTACATAATTCTACCTCCCAAAATACATCAAAGTCTTTCATCTTCACTGCCCACACAACCCAGCTAAACCACCTGGGTTTACCTCTCACTTGGATTGCTGCAATGGTCTCATAGTTGATCTCTCTGCTTCCTCTCTTACCCACTAAACTTCTCAAGCAGCCAGAGGGGTCATTTAAAAAAATAAAATCAGGGGCCTCCCTGGTGGCGCAAGGTTTAAGACGCAGCACTATGGAGCTGTCTGAGCCACTGAAGCACGAGTTCAATCCCCTGCCAGGGAGGTGACCCACATGGCACTGCAGACATCTCCTGTCTCGACCGCTGCTCCCCTCAGCAGTGTATTTCAGTCAATCCGCCTTTTCTGTTCCCCACTCTCTCTGGTGAATCCTCTCCCCCTCCACACACACACCTCTGGCCTGTACCCCAGTTCTTGTATGCATAAACAAATCTTTAAAAAAAAATAAAATCATATCACAGAAGGGCTGTGTTTATAATCCTTGAAGAACTTTCCAATGCACATGAATGAATGTCAAAAGCAGACCAGGAACGACCAGGGCTAAAATGATCTGCCCCTGGTGACCTCTTCTCTCTCTTTTTTAATCACTCTGCTCCAGCTAGATTGGACTCCCTTCTGCTCCTCAAACTCATCAAATTCACCAAATTCTTTTTAGCTTTGGAGCTCGCTGCCTCCTCTGACTAGGTCATCTTACCCCACTCCTGAACCCCTCGGCGATGATCAGATGTTCTGCACTTGAAACCTCCACGGTGGCCGTAGCTGCTGACCAGCTTTGGAATCGGACCTTCCTTATTTTGAGCTGAGGTATGTTTCTCTCGGGCTCTTATAATCTAGTAGCCCTCCAAGGAAACAAAGCAAATAAAACCATCCTTTAGAAGGCAATCTTCTTGGTTTTCTCCAATTTCTACCTTTTTCTGTAGGCTTTGTTCTCCAAGCCAAATCCCCTCCAGGGCACCTCCTCGGGCCTCCTCTCTCTCAACCTCCAGAGGCCGACAACTGCTCCAGCAGTCCGGGGGGAAGGACTGACAAACCCAGCGGGCAGTGCTGCTCCCAGGGCCTCGACCTTGTAAGAACGCGCCCCCCCACGCCCCCCCCCGCGCCTCTCCGTCGGCTCCTTAGACGTCAGCCCCCCCTCGCCCCCCCCCACACCTCTCGGCTGGAGCGAGCTCCTCCACAGCGGCTACCGGGCCCGACCGTGACACACCACAGCTTTTCTAAAGCCGCGGGTGGACCCCAACACCGCACAACTGGTTCTGGGACCCACCCAGGACCCAACATCTCGCGGGAATGCCAGGGGGCACCCCAGCCGGCGCCCCCGCCCCCCTCGGGCGGGACCCCCCCCCCGCCCGAGTCGCTCACCTCGCCCGCTGGGTGTCGCCCCTCAGCCTATCCCGTCCCGCCTTCCCTGAAATCACTCCCTCCAGCCGGGTAACCCCCCGCCCCCCGGGGCCCACGGTCCCCGCCGCGGTGCCCCAGTTGGGAAAGCCTGGAATCCCCGTCGTCAGCGCGGCCCGGACACCCACGAGGCGCGGCCACGCCCCCCGCGCACGCGCCGGGCGAACCGGAAGGGCTTGCGCAGCCCCTAGTTCGTGGGCCCGGAAGTAGACGTACCTCACGGAAGCTGGGTTTGGCCCTGCGGCTGCTGCCGTCGCCGCGGAAAAATTGTTGGAGCTGGCAGTCCAGGAATGGTGAGACCTCGCGGTTCGCCTCTGAGGGTTCTTGAGCGGAGTTGGGGGTGAAACGGAGTTTCCCGGAGTGCCACCGGGGACGACGCCCCCCAGGTATAGGGCCCCGCCCCGGTAGCGCCCCGAAAATCTGCGCATGCGTGGGCCGTCCCGGGCTAGAAGCGGGTCCGAGCTGTGACGCATGCGCAAAGGCTCCTTGCCGAAGGTGGGGTGAGAATTGGCCTGGGAGTTGGCCTCCCCTCACTTTCCACCGCCGTCAGCCCTTGCGGCTTGAATGAAACCTGCAGGAGCGTCGTGACTCTCTCGGTGCTTGCCTTTGAGTTGCAGGGCTACATCCTTATTCCTATTCCGAGCCCCTGAAACAGACCTGGACTAACCCCCCTCCTTGGGTGTGCACTGGGGTGGTGGGGGTGGCGACGGGTGGAGGGCCGGGAAGGAAGGCGCTGCAGACCCTGCCTCTGCCCACAGAATCGGGCGCCCTCTACCCCGATGTCGAAACTCCTAGCCACGACGTCCTGTGGAGCGCCGCGACGGCACACCTGGGGACAGGGCCTGAATGCTGGAGAGCAGGGCAGAAGGGGCGGGACCCGCTACCGACGCGCCCCCAAAGAGTCCCAGTACTTGAGTTCACCCGCGATTGGGAGCGTCCCCTCTTCCCCCCAACACACACACACACACACAGGCGGTTGATATTAATGCAGTTCCCAAACTGCAAATTGTAGTTTCCATGAGCTACCACCCACAGATTCTTCAGCTAAAGCTGCAAATGGGAAAAGGCGAGATGGACTTGTTGGAGTTCCATCTCCCTTTCCTTTTCTCCACCTTGGCCTGGGAGAGGGATGTTGATGCTGCTGAGCCAGTGACAGGCCAACAGAAAAAAAAGTGAGCCAAAAGTCCCTTATTTTTGTTAGCATATAGTCAAGGCCCTTAATCCAGGGGCTATGCATAGAATTAGAAAGGTCCCTGTACCTCCTACAGTAGCATGTGACTTACATTTTTCTGGAATCCCCAGGTTTGATCATATTCTCAAAGATGTCAGTGACCTTTAAAAGGCTACTGGTTTGTCAGGGTCACATCTGTAGAATGGAGCCTTCTGTCTTTTTTCTCCTGTGTCTTCCCTAGCTTATGGGATGTTGGAGGCCTGTTCTGGTATAAGGCTGACCGGTTAGAATCCTGAACCTCAGGGACCCTCATTTTCCTTTGCAGAATCTCCTCTCAGCCTCTAACCTCGCCTGGTCAGAATCCTTGGATGAGCCTGTAGGACCCTTCTTCCTAGCCTTGTGGTTTGGAACCTGTGGTTGTGGCATTGTAAGAGGATGGACAAAGGTATGAGCTTGGGCAGCTCCCCAAACTCTCAGGTGTTGAGTATCTGCTGATTCTGCCTGTGCTGGCTCTATCGCACGTGTCTTTTGGTCCTAGCTGGGCGTGATTGTCACCTTCCCCTGGGCCAGCATTACCCTTGTACCTCTCGGCAAAAGCCACAATTGACTGACTTGCTATTGAGCTACCACACTTTGACATCACTGCATTTTGATGGCAGAGGGAGCTATTGCCCCCAGAGCCCTGAGTCACCATCAGCAGTCTGACCTGAGCATGACATATGGCACTGGGAAAACTGCCCAGCATGGAAGGTCAGGCCAGGTCTGAGCCCAGATGGGAGCTGAATGGTCAAGAATCTCCCACCTTAAAGCTTTAAGTGTCAAGGAAGTAGGGAAGGGGCCATGAGGGCTAGCAGGGGGAAGAGGGACTGAGAAGGGATCCCATACACAGAAGCTCGGGGCTCTGCTAGAAACTTAAGAAGTCTAAGTTCACTGTTTCTTTTTTCCTAGATTCTCAGGGGCTGCTAGATTCATCCCTGATGGCATCAGGCACTGCCAGCCGCTCAGAGGATGAAGAATCACTGGCAGGGCAGAAACGGGCCTCCTCCCAGGCCTTGGGTACCATCCCTAAACGGAGAAGCTCCTCAAGGTAGTAAGGATTTGGAGGGCCAGAGACTGGGCAGGGGCACTAGGTGCTGCACGCCTTCACCCCTGTAGGAAGTGGCTCCCTGATCCCCTCTGGGGGCCAAAGCATTTGCAGAACCTTGTACTTTTCCTGTCCCTACCAAATCCCTCCCTGTGGCCCTGAGGGCAAGGGAGTGAAATCTTAGATCTTTGATGTGAAACCTTCGTGGTGTTGTAATGCTCTTGAACGGTGGAGTCACGCAGTTCCACGCTCATCCTCTGAACCAGAGCAATGAGCACCCTGCTGGGAACTGCTCTTTTAGAGGTTGGATGCAAATGTGAGTGGGCACTAGGGAGGGGGCAAGGAGTGCTCTCTGGGTTGTGTTCTCCACAGATTCATCAAAAGGAAGAAGTTTGATGATGAGCTGGTGGAGAGCAGCCTGGCTAAGTCCTCCACCCGGGCAAAGGGCGCCAGTGGAGTGGAACCAGGGCGCTGTTCAGGGAGTGAACCATCCTCCAGTGAGAAGAAGAAGGTGAGTGACTGGGAGCTGAGGGGCGGGAGCCCATGATAGATTTCGTGCTTCCCACAGCACTTGTCAGCTGGCTTGAGCTCTGCAGAGGAGGCTTATGAGAGGACCAAGCTGCCCCCAGCCCCAACCTCAGATGCCTCTCTCCTGGGAACCCATCTTTCCCTACTCTCCCTTTCTTGCTGCACCCCCCTACCCTGTCATTGCATCCTGTATCACATTCTGTGTGGGAGGCATGGAGCTTGCATCTATTCTGGGAGCAGACAGCCTGTTCCCAGCATTGCTGGGTGTAAAAATAACCCCCAGGTGGCATTGATCTGGCCCCAGACACTGTACCAGCAAGAGTGTTTTCCTGGTATTCCTCCCCACCCACCCTCCACTCCAGTTGGGGGTGCCACCAGCAAAAAGTAGACCCCATATGGTCAAGGACTATGTAGAATTATTTTGGTGGGGGCGGGTATTAGAAAGCTGAGCTTCTGCTTGTGCTGCTTATTACTGGGTTGGGCTGGGGCCTCCACTCGGTTCATAAAACTCAGGACCTGAAGCCTCAGCTGCCCTGATGCTGGCTTTCAGCTCTGTTCCTGTCCTCTGCACAGGTGTCTAAGGCCCCCAGCACTCCTGTGCCTCCCAGCCCAGCCCCAGCTCCGGGACTCACCAAGCGGGTGAAGAAAAGCAAACAGCCACTGCAGGTGACCAAGGATCTGGGCCGCTGGAAGCCTGCGGATGACCTCCTGCTCATCAATGCTGTGTTGCAGGTTTTGTGTTCCCCTTCTTCCCCCAACCTCTAGTTTGCAAACTCCCCTCCCCCTCTCCCCCCCCCCAGCCTCGGTTCGGCCAGTAGTGTCAGTGGGTGGCAGGGGAAGGGTTCTTCCTAGCTGTAAGGCTGCACCAAATCCCTGTGGGACCTTGCAGACCAATGACCTGACATCCGTCCACCTGGGTGTGAAGTTCAGCTGCCGCTTCACCCTTCGTGAAGTCCAGGAGCGCTGGTATGCTCTGCTGTACGATCCTGTCATCTCCAAGTGAGTAGGGCTGCCGCCAACAGCAAGGAGGTACTGGGGACCCCAGAATTTGGCTCCTGGAGCAGAGAGAATTGCGGTGGAGCTCCTGGGGCCTTGCATCCTGGGATAATATTAAGACCTACCAGGCTTTGGAGAAAAACTTCCCACTGCCAGCCCTGCTAATCCGGGCTTAATGCCAGAAATAAAGTAATCTGGAAGCCCAGGAAGTAGCATGGTAGAAAATACCCGGATGGGTGGCAGGAGCCTTGGTTCCACCACTGTATACATTGTGGTTTGGGGAAGGTCAACTCCTAACCTTTTTATATCATCTCCTACAACTTCTTCCTCCATAAGAAAAAATACTGAGGCCCCTCCAGCTCCAACGGCCTAAGCGCCAAGTACCAATGCACACACAGTGCACACACTTCCTCCCCAGTCACTTCTTTTAATATCGGAGTTTGGATGTTCAACACCCATCTCCTACTCCTCAGCCCCGGGCACCACTTAAGCATTAGCCACAGCCCTGATTGACCAGGAAATGGGCAGGGCTCAGCTTGGGGAAGAGGAGGTGGTCAGTGGCTAGTGGGTGGCAGCTTTGGCCAAGGAAGAAGGAAGGTCAGGGTTCGGGGGGCAGGGGAGCAGCAGCTGGTCTCAGGATCTCCCTCTGGCTTGGGTCTCTCAGGGACTGTGCCTTTAAGTTTCTTCCTGGGGTTCAACCCAGCAACCTATTTCCCGAGCGGTCTGTTCGTGCTCATGACAAACCCATGAGATCAAACATCATCAAAAGCCTCGGGCTTTTCCTACTGAGGGCCTGGTCTCTAGTTCTGGATCTCAGAGGCCTGCAGGTTTGGACGAAGCAAGAACTCCATATTGCTTAACGTCCTCCGTTTGTCCCTGCCCTGACCTGTGCCTCTACCCGCCACCTCCAGGCTGGCCTGTCAGGCCATGAGACAGCTGCACCCAGAAGCCATTGCCACCATCCAGAGCAAGGCCCTGTTTAGCAAGACAGAGGAGCAGCTGCTGAGCAAAGTGGGATCGGTAAGGCTTAGGGCTGGTAAGATTGAGGGACCGGGCAGGATAGGAGCTGGACCACCTAGAAAACTGATGGGGGCAACTCCACCATCTGGAAACATGCCCATGCAGGCGCTCACACATCTGCAGGGAACTTGATGGACAGGGTCTTCAGGGTCTTCAGGACTGGCTCTCTGGGCAACGGTAGCTATCTTCTTCCAGCTACTGGGGGAGACTGGGACAGGGACTGGAGAGGTAAGGTAGAGGTGGTAGTGAGAAAACCCTCACTGAAACCTCAAGCTTCTTGCCCTCCAGGCCAGCCAGCCCACCTTGGAGACCTTCCAGGACCTGCTGCATAGACACCCTGATGCCTTCTATCTGGCCCGTACTGCTAAGACTCTGCAGACCCACTGGCAGCTCATGAAGCAGTATTACCTGCTGGAGGACCAGACAGGTACCTGACCCCGGAGCTGACAGAATGGGCGTGTGTGACGTGCAGTGGTCTGGGCCTCAGGTGCCCTGGAACAGATCCCTCAGCAGCCCCTGGTGTCTTGTTCACTTGATTTGCAATGAAAATCCCTTCTAGAGGGCAAAAAAGGAGCTGAAATGGGCATAAGCTTCATGGTAAGAGAAGCCAAATTGCCTGGAGTCCTGAGGAAAAAGTCTACCGTAACTGGGCATTACCACGTCTTATTTTTCCCTTTGACATTTTATCATTACATAAATGATATGTTAACATCTTCGTGAATAGCGTTCAGACCTGAGTAAAATGTGACCGTCCCCTCCACGGCTACCCTTCTTTATTGTGGAGATAACGACTGTAGCGATAACGACCAATTTTTTGACCCTCTCTGCTCCTTCCCTCCCTCCGGTTCCTTCCCACCACCTCACTCCCACCAGGCGGGCAGCGCTGTCTGCTCTGGAGGACTTCCCTTGGGGACTTCCTGCCCAGTCTGTCTGTCTGCCTCCTTCCCTGGAGGCCACAGTGCTCGCTGATTCCTCAACAAAACTCACTCTCTAGTAACAAACATTTAGCAAAGCTGTCTGGTTAAACTGGAGGAAGCACCTCAGTTGGGCTGGGGTTCAGGGTCGGCTTTCATAGTACCTCACACGGCTTTCACTTCCTGCAAGTTGCTGCCTTTACCTCTTATACAGATTTTTACAGTTCTGAAAAGGAAGCTTTAGTCATGCCTTTCACCTTACTCCCTGGGCCTGCCCCTTCTGATTATATTATGATTATATTACTATGAACGGATTCCAGGAAACCTGCTTGTCAGGGAGCACCCCGTCTGTCCTTCCCAGGGATCTCCGAATTTCGTGTCACTAATTCTGCAGCTTCCAAATCACTGCTGCTTCCTCAGGCTCAGAGGAAAGAGGAATGGCCTCTGGATAAAGTTTACTTTGGCTCCTATAACTAGTTCCCTTGTTGCCATTTTGAAAGTTATTTTGTAAAAACCTATTTGTTGCTTAAAGCTTTAATTTTTCTTTTCATGAGTCCTCTTATGTGGGTGGATTTCTCCTTTGCTGCTCGGAGCTGAGAGACTCTAGGAACAGGGAGTGTACATTGCTGGGTGTCAAATCAGTTGACTGTTAAATGGGTGCAGTTGCAGGCAGCACTGTCAGGAAGAGGGTTAGTAGGAGTGACCGCCCTAGTCCCGTCTCCCCACGCTGTCTGACTAAAGGAGGCAGGGTGGGGGTGGGCATTTATGATTCCTCTGCAGCCCAGCTCAGCTCCCTGGCAGGCAGTGAGGACACCTCAAGTGTGGTCCAGCTCCTCAACCAACCATTCCCCAGCCTCTAGCTTGGGGGAGCTGCTGCTGAGCAGACACTGCCGTCCTGGGAACATCTGGCCTTAAGGCAGAAGTTCCCAGATCTTTGGAGCCCTAACCCCTGTTACATTGTGACCAGGATAAAACTAGAAAACTTTCATGAAACAATAATTACTCTCATGGACTCTGATATTAATCATCACATTTTATTCCTTTTCTTTGGGGAAAAAATTAATTTCATGACCCATTAACACATCATAACTCACATTTTGAAAAGCACTGGTTTAAGGTGGGACAGCGCCCTTCCAACTCTCTAAGTGGGACTTGACTGGTGAGTGCCTCGTAGCCCCTCACTGAGTGTGGCAGAAAATGTTTGGGGGCCTGTTATGTGGCAGGAGATGCATAGTGGATTTGTAAACAGGAAAGCAGGGCTTCTCCTGGCTCTCCTAAATTAGAGTCACAGTTGAACGCTCCCTCCCGCTGCCGCCTCTGTAAAGTAGAGCTAACACAGGGCCGCCCCTGCCATGCCCAAGGCTGAGAGCACACCCCGAAACACCTACACAAAAGGGCAACTTTTGTCTCCTCCTTTCTCTTAGCACCCCTTCTGTCTTTGGCTCCCCCATGAATGCTTTATGCCAAATTAGTGTGCAGCCTGATCTGGCACGCGCTCCGATACTGTATTGTGAGAACTTTCACGAACAGCATGAGGGTGCTCACCTGGACTCTGTCTCTAGAGTGTCCTCTCAGTAGCTTCTGCTCACCAGCTTGGAGTAGGAGCGCTGGCGCTGACCCTCCCTGTCTTTTGTTCAGTGCAGCCACTACCCAAGGGGGACCAAGTGCTGAACTTCTCTGATGCAGAAGACCTGATCGATGACAGCAAGCTCAAGTGAGTGGCAGGAGGCCCTCCCGGGACCGAGCTCTGCCCCAGCCACCTGGGCCCACCTGTCCTGCCGCAGCAGGCAGTCAGCCCTGACTCCGCTTCAGTTGTCGCTGCGGGTGCCTGCTTGTCTGCGTTCTCCCCCGACCCCACACCCTCACCCTGCTGTGCCTTGGCCCTGCCCCCACACCAGCCCCGGGGAAGGAGGCCAGGCCAAGGCCAGAGGACCAGCCTGCCGGGCCACTTAGCTACAGGGGCTCGGGGAACCCTTAATAAGCCAGGTTGTACCTGATGGGGGTGGCCGGTGAGCTGGAAGCGGAGCCTGAGTCTTCCTCTGCTTGCCCCCCAGGGACATGCGAGATGAGGTCCTGGAACACGGTGAGTGTACCCCAGTAGGGACGCTGAAGTGGGGGGAGCTCCCGCTGGGCCAGAGGAGGCCAGTGCAAGATGGCCTTCCCACTGCACCTCACCCTAGAGCTGACGGTGGCTGACCGGCGCCAGAAGCGAGAGATTCGGCAGCTGGAACAGGAGCTGCATAAGTGGCAGGTGCTCGTAGACAGCATCACAGGTGAGAGGCCGGTGAGCAGCAGGGGTGCTGAGAGACCCGTTGGCCAGGCGTCCACCCCCTGAGCCCCGGCGAGTGCCTGGCTGAGTGCACCCTCCTCGGGCCGCTGCCTCCTTGCCCTCAGTAGCCCCGGTGCTGACTCCCTTCTGTCTGCCGGTGGCGCTGAGGGGTGGCTCTTTCCTGCCCCTGCCCCTCCCCCAGGCATGAGCTCTCCGGACTTTGACAACCAGACGCTGGCCGTCCTGCGGGGCCGCATGGTGCGGTACCTGATGCGCTCCAGAGAAGTAAGGCGGTGGGGGCGCGCCCCTGCCTGTCCTCCTCCCGCCCCGCCCCCTTCCTGAGTTTCCCTCGCCGCCAGTCTCCCCTCACTGCCCTCTCTGCATCTGTCCCCGACTCCTCCTCTCTCCCCGACCTGTGTGGACGCTCCTCCGGCCCGCCCTCACCTGCCGCATTTCCCCAGATCACCCTGGGCAGAGCCACCAAGGACAACCAGATTGACGTGGACCTGTCCCTGGAGGGGCCGGCCTGGAAGATCTCGCGGAAGCAAGGTACCAGCAGGAGGCAGCGCCAGGCCGCCCCTTCGGCCTTGTGCTTCCACGGGACCCTTCACGGAGCTGCTGGGCCCGAGGAGCTCACATTTCAGGATCTCCAACTTGGGTATCCTGGGCTCCTTCTAGCCTGTCCCCAGGAAGCAGAGAGGGTACCTGGGGGCTTCGGGGCGTCAGGCTGTCTTCTGCCCCTCCTCTTCCCAGCATCTCCTGCCGCTGTCTCCCCACAGGCGTCATCAAGCTGAAAAACAACGGTGATTTCTTCATTGCCAATGAGGGCCGGCGGCCCATCTACATCGATGGGCGGCCTGTGCTGTGTGGCTCTAAGTGGCGCCTCAGCAACAACTCCGTGGTGGAGGTGAGCTGGGAGGGGGCTGGGAAGGCCGGGATGGGACCCAGGGGCGCCTCGTCCATCCCACCTCCGTCCTGAGCGTCTCTCCTCCCTCCCAGATTGCCAGCCTGCGGTTCGTCTTCCTCATCAACCAGGACCTCATCGCCCTTATCCGGGCAGAGGCTGCCAAGATCACTCCACAGTGAGGAGTGGCGACGGGACCCACGGACTCTCTCTGGCCTGTTTCCCCTGCCAGTCCAGCCCCTGTGAGCTGGGAACTCGAGCTACTGGAAAAATTAGAGTGGGCAGTGGAAACCCAGCTGCTGCCCACTGATCCGAGCCTCTGGCAAGAGGGTGGGGCTGGCCCTGGGGAAACCTGGCTGCTGGGGCCCTCCAGCTTCCTTAGGGCCAGAGCCCCTCCCTCTGCGCTCTGCAGACCACCCTCCCTCTTCCTCCAAAGGTCCACTTCCACCCTTGTCTCCAGTGGATTGGCTTCAGACTTTTATTATTTTTCTTTTGTAAATAAAAAGCACTGAGTTCCAAAGTAGTTCCTTTTATTATTTTTTTAATATAAAAAATGTGGGGACAGGTGAGGTGGGGGCACATGCAGGGGATGGCAGAACCCCCCTTTGGCCTCAGGCCTCTGCCCTCAGCCTGCAGAAGGAAACCACGCAGTCAGAGGAATAGGCTGAGGAGGGGCCCCCAAAGTAGGGGCCTGAAGATCCCTAGCCCAGGAGCCCCTCCAGAGACTCCCGCCCACCCTTTGCAATTCGTGGGCCAGGTCCTCCTTTGTGCTCAAGCTCCCTGCCCTGAGCCAACAGGCAACCTGGAGTCCTGGGGGAGCTGCCGCCCATTCACCCCAAGGCTGGGCAGAGCAGCAGATGGCAGCATGTCTGGCAACACTGAGTTCTGGGGCTGGCAGTCAGACCCCTGTGCCTTCTTCCTGGGTCCACTGGACCGTGCCAGAGCCATGGCAGCCAATAAGCACCATCTCCAGGCTATGGGGTTCCCAGGACAAGGCCAGGCCCCCCGTCCCTGGCGGGGGCTCTCCAGTGCTGGCAGCCTCGACCTGGTTCGTGGGCTGCGGTGGCCCAGTCCTAGCCCCGTCTTCAGGAGGCGGCGAGCCAGGGGTGCTGGGCTCGGGACAGAGATCTCCTGAGCCAGGGGGCTCTGAGTCAGAGGTGGAGGTCCAGAAAGGTGTGGCTCGAGGCCAGGGGGAACTCTGAGATGCTGGGGGCCCCCAGGGCCAGGGTGCCATGAGTGGAGAGGGCCCTGGACGAGGGTGGGGCCAGGTTCCACTCAAGACTGAGCCAGTCGGGGGCTGCAGACAGTACGAATCTGCCCCTGTGTCCACACACAGAGGCTGCAGGAGCCCAGAGCCACTGGCTGGGCATGGCCCCTCTCCAGATGCCCGAGGACATGGGCCCTCCCCATGGGGTGCCAGGACCAGCTGCACAGCCTGGCGAAGTGATTGCAGCCCCTCCCGCATCTGCAGCACCTGCTCAGACAGCTCTACCACCTTCAGGGAGAGAGGAGGGTGAAGTCAGAGGAGAGTTGGCCCAATGTGAAACAGCAGTACCCGGCCCACCCACCCCCCCGCCCCACCTCCAAGACCTTGCCCCTCACCCACCGCCTGCCGAAGCTTGTCCAGTGTGTCTGTGTTCTTCGATTCGCTGGGCCCAAGGGGAACAGTGAGCAGAGCATTCTCTGTGGACAGTAGGATGGGGTTATCAGCCGGGGCTCGCAAGAGGAGCCAGCATGGGGTCCAGGCCTCGGCCCCAGTTAGCACAGACCACTTTGGCCGGGCAGGGCCGGACATCACTGGAAATAACCACTTCTAGCCTTACCCAAGTTGCTGAATTCTGCCCAGGGCGTCGGGGAGGCTTGGACACACCACCTGGGCTTCCCCCCTCAGGAAGCTGCTGTCTGTGCCTGTCTCTTGCACCGTCCTCCAGGAGCATGGACACTCCTGGGAGCTAACCACCTGACCCGCTGCTAGGACAGTGGGACCTGGCCCTGGCCCACTTCTAGCTCTGCTGCCCCAGCCCTCTGTCCCTGCAGTAGCCAGACACTGCTGCATCTAGTGACGTCTTATTTAACAGGCGCAACAATCATTCTAGAGGCAGGAAACAGTGAGAATCAAGGTCACAGAGCTAGAGAGTTGACAGCAGGGATCCAAACCCCACACCTAGCTATGACAGCACCGGGGTGCCGGCCTTAACCACTAGGCTTCCCTGCCCAAAGGGTGTGGGTGGGTGAGGACAAGAAAGATGGACAAAGTCAGTGCCCTGCCAGTCTGTCGGAGGCCGAGAGTGCTTGAGGTTCACAGGGCAAAGGGACTGCCCTACTGACCTCCCCCCAAGCCCGGGCCCCAGTACCTGGTCCAGGGGAGGGGCTGCTGCTACATTCCGGGCCAGACTGCCCCACGCGGAAAGAGAACCTGGGCTGGTCGGAACCACAGCCGTCCTCAATGCCATCTACCACCCTGTGGACCCAGGCGCCAGGGCAACAAGTCAATCTCCAGGCAGCTACTATGGTGTTTCACGGGACGCGATGCCCCAGTGTCCACACACAGAGGCTGCAGAAGCCAGCGCTAGACCGAGGGGCTCAGGGCCCCAAGAGAAAGGTGACACGCATCAGAGCTTGCAGTTTCGTTGGGCAGCAAAGCTTGAGCAACAGGAAAAAAAGCAAGAGTTGCAAAGCAAGAGTTCTGAGGCAGGGAATGACATGCATGGGACGGTGGGGTGGGGGCAGTAGGGAGGTAGGGAGGCCAGAGGAAGCTTCCTGAAGGCAGGTGTGAACCAGGCAGGTGGCGGGGTTAGGAAGGAAGGATGGGCAGCCAAGGTGGGGCTCCTGCCTGCCATAGCCCTATCACCATCATCTCTGCCAAAGTGTAGTAGCCCAGGGCCCGCTCACCTGGGGCTCAAATCGGGGGGCACATTCCATGGCACAGGAGGCAGCCGCAGCCCCTCTAAGCTCCGTGGGTGAGCAGAAGGGCCAGCCTCAGCCCGTGAAGCCCCTGCCCGGCCTGGCCGCCCTCTGCGACCTAGCCGCGGCCTGGGCACAGTCGGATGTGGGGAGAGCAGCTTGGCAGCTGAGGACGAGGAGGTGCAGCCAGGTGACAGCAGGGGGCTGGAGGGCTCGTCAGCGGGGGCTGGTGAGGCTGCAAGGCCTTGCTCCCCATCTGTCTCCTTCTCTTCCAGTGTGGACATGAGAGTGTTGTCGCCACTCAAGGAGCTGGTGTCTGCCTGGGGACAGTGGGGGAAAGGGAACCAGCACAGATAGCCTCCGCGTGCCCTCCTCACCCCACCCCTGCCTCATCTCCCTAGAAGGGAGAACTGTCTGCATGAAGCAGGATGCCTCGTGTCTCCCACCCTGCAGACAAAGAGGCGAGGGGTGGGGGAGGGTTGATTTTCTGATGCTAACATAAAGTCACCTAGACTTGGAGGTGTTCATTGCCCCTCAAAAGTCTAGCCAAGGAGGCCTCCCTGGTGGCGCAAGGGGTTGAGACGCAACCTATGAAGCTGTCCGCAGCCACTGAAGCATGAGTTCGATCCCCGGCCAGGGAGCTACGCACATGGCGCGGCAGACCTCTCCTGTCTTGCCCGCTGCTCCCCTCAGCAGTGTGTTTTGTCATTCTGCCTGCTTTGTTCCCCGCTCTGTCTCTGGTGAATCCTCTCACCCCCTCCCTGTATCTCTGGCCTGTACCCCAGTTCTTGTATGTATAAATAAATAAATAAATCTTTAAAAAGAAAAAGTCTAGCCAAGGGTGGTAGACACTCCACCTCTGCTTGGTCCCTTGGGCTCACTGAGCTATCCAAGAGAATAAAGTGCTAAAAACTGGTTTAAAATTAGTGACATAAACCAGAAAAATTCAAAAAAGCCCCCAGAGTTGTCCTGTTTTCACCATGACGAAGCAGGGGCAGCTACAGGGCCCTATTCAGAGAAGAGACCTGGTGCCCAGCCCGGCCTGGCCCTGCCCCACGGGCCCCCCACCCCTTCACCGGCTGCCTATAGGCTCCCTGTCTCCCTCACCTAAGGCTTCGCCAGGACGGGACCAGGACGTCTAAGTGGGCCAGAGTGAGCCTGACAGGTGGCCCAGGACAGTTGGGCTGGGCTCTAAGGGCCGAGGGAGGGGTGAAGGGGCAGGGACAGTGTGCAGGGGTCTCTGCACAGGCCATGTGCTCACACAGAACCTCCACAAAACTCAGCTCGGCCCTCCCAGCAGGTTCCCTGCACCCCAACTCCTTCCATGCACGTACCCAGCACCCTCACCTCCGCATGGGCTCCGCCGGCACCCAGGTTGTAGCTGAGCTCGCCTCGGAGGCCCCGGCTGAAGCGTGGGGCAAACTCAGGATACAGGGCGAGGCTCTCGTGCAGCCCGGCCAGCTGCAGACACTGCAGGACGCAGTACGTCAGCCCCTTCACATCGGCGTTAGCCTTTACCACCTGCTCCCGGCGGGGCAGCTCGCAGCCGATCAGGTCACCCTTCCCTGCGGAAAGGAAGCGGAGGTCAGAGAGCCCTTACCTTCAACTGGTACAGGGGGCATCCTTGTGCCAAGCAGGGACTTTCCAGCCAGGTGCCCACTGTGAGGCCTTAGAGCCAGGACAGAGCCAAGGGACCTGTAGGGTAGCTAAAAATATCAGGCTTTTCTGCCCTCCCGCCATCGGGACAGATGCCGGAACCCTGCGGCCCTGAATGCATGCCTGAGGGCAGCACCTGGAGTGGGGTGTGGGCATAGGTAGATGGGATTCACCTGGGCTGAGACTGGGTTTGTAAGGGCGGCGTCAGGGGGACGCCAGCAGAAGCAGAACGGATGGAAGAGCAGAGAGCCCAGAGTGAAGACTTGCTGGGGGCTGGCAGGCCTGCCAGCCTCCCGGCCCCCCAGCACCCCTGCCTGCCATATGCCTGGTGAACCCCAGTAAAAGCCTGAAAACCCGCTGAGGGCTCTAGGACTCTGACTCCTCCTTTACCCGGTCTGCTGGTCAGAAAACCTGCTCAGTGGTCATTCCTGGCCCTACAGACCCCAGCTGCCTGCCTCCCTCGCTCCCCAGATGGGCTTGGGGTGAAGGGCACTCTGACCAAAGCTGACAAGAACGCTTGAAATCCAAGCTACCACATTGAAACATTTGAATTTAAGCTCTGAGAAGACTGAGCAGCCCAAGGAGAGGGTTCCCAGGGTTCCCAGGCTTCCTGCGGGTCAGAATCCTCTGCGGAGGTGAAGTTAACCGGGCTCCCGGGTGTGGCTCCCAGGTGCTATCCTTACCTACGGAATCAGAGGGTTTCCTGGACACCCCACAGGCCCCACAGGTGATTTGTTCAGGGGCCAAGACAGGAGCCCGCAGGGCATCGGCTCATGTGACACAGTGTCCTTCGCCCCTGACCCCCAGGGCTTCCTCCATACAATAGGGCCATGTTTGAACGAGTCTGCGGCTTTCTGGATCTCACCAGCAGGCGCCAGTGATAGAGAGCAGCCACGCAGCAATTATAAAATTACAGTGCACACCCCAATCTAGAGATATTACACTGTGGGGA